CTGAGATTTATCAATAGCTAACTGTGCAAACCGTCACAGCTACACAATCCATTGTTGTTTTTCAGTCACTAAGTCTTGTCCAGCTGTTTGTGACTCCATGGATTGCAGCACGCCAGGCCTCCCTGTCCTTCACTATCTCCTGGAGCTTGCTCAAACTCATGTCCATAGAGTCGGTGATGCCATCCAACCATCTCATCTTCTGCCGTCCCCTTCTCCTCCTGCCTTCAATATTTCCCAGCATCAGGGTCTTTTCAAATGAGTTGGTTCTTCACATCAGGTGGCCAAAGTACTGGAGCTTCAGCTTCAGCATCAGTCCTTCCAATATATATTCAGGACTGATTTCCTTTAGGATGGACTGGTTGAATCTCCTTGCAGTCCAAGGGACTCTCAAGGGTCTTCCTCACGCCTTTGGGTAAATTAGGAAAGAGGATCTCTCCTGGTGATCCAGGCTGCTCTCCTGTAGGTGGCCTCAGTGATAGCTGTGGCCTGAATTGCTGAGTCTCCTCTCACAGTTTCTTGGCAGAGCCTGTGTCCATGACACGACCTGCACTATTGTGTTTGAACCTCTTTAACTGCACAACTGGGATACTGGGAAAGATTGAAGGCAAAAGGAGAAGGGGATGGCAGAAGATGAGATGGTTATCCAGCATCACCAATGCAATGGACATGAATCTGAGCAAACTCCAGGAGATAGTGGAGGACAGAGGAGCCTGGCATGCTGCAGTCCATGGGGTCACAGAGAGTCGGACACCACTTAGCAACTGAACAACGTCAACAACAACTCCACAGGTGGTGTGCATGCTCTCATCCCATCTTAACAATGAAGCAAGGGAGACACAGAAAAATTAAACCATTTGCCAAATTCACACAGCTCATAAATGGTTAAGGGTTTGGAACCAGGTAGTCTGGCTCCACAGTTCACACATGTCCCCAAATTTCTAGGTTGCCTCCATGGAGGTCTCAGGTATATTTTTATAAGGTGAAAAAATTCATGAATAAAGGGACTGATTCATATATACATAATAACTATAACCTATGCTATCATGTTTAGCATTGGTTCATGATTGATTACCTGATGGCTAACACATGCTTGGGTTGTACATGGAGAGTTTCCCTCTAAGCAGAACACAGAATTTCTTTTAGTTAACATTGAGACATAGGTTTCCTATTGCAACATCTATCTCAGGCTTTCCATATCTCCTTAATGATTTTTAAGTCCAGACCTTCTATTTTCCAAACAAAACAAGCAAGGTCCAACCTGAACATCTCCCCAACAACAAGGAGTATAACTTTAGTCAAATTGTCAGGCTATGTTCTATCATCAGCGATATGTTAAAACATGAAAGAAACAATCTTGCCTGGTAATCATGTCCATCACCGACCTGTGTGCTAAGCATTTAAGACAGAAGACAGAGAGTTGGAGAAGGTCAACATTGCTAATGAGACCATCAGCTGAATTTCTACTTTGTACATCTTTATATAATACTGTCCCTTTTTAATGTTAATGTAACAGGTATTACCATCTTCCAGTAAAAGAATTATGAAAATAAAACCATAAAATAATGAAAAATGGCAGGTAAGGATTAATGACTATGATGAATGTGTAGTTTATTAAGTGACTGCTAATAAGATTAATTCATTCCTCTCTTGCCCAAGAGATACTTAAAGTAATTGCGTCTTTGAAAACTGCACTGTCATCACTTTATGCTTTTGATGATGTCATGGAATAGTACCACAAGCTGGAATACTCTCAGCAGTTTTTTGCAGTTAAAAAAAAAAATCTTGTGTGTCCCTTGCTTTTAATCTATGGGTTACTGGTCACCACCTATGATTTTGCGATATACTGTGGCATTTGGATGATCAAAGTGGAAATCTCTAAATCGTCCAGTGTTCTAAATAAAATGTTTGCCAATTTCAGTAATTTCAAGTGAATACATATTAAAGTGCTCTGCAGAAATGTGCAGGTACCCTGAAACACACCTAATGCACTTTGCGGTATAAACAGGTTGATGGATCACTGCTGGGTGCACTTAAAAAGAGAAAGTAAATACACACACACATTACTTCAAAACTCTTTAAATGCTTAAGAATATCCATGTGCTCTTCAGATGTATTCTCCCATCTTAGAGACTTGAATATTGAATTCTTTTTCATATGTATGCATATACCCCCAAAGTAAAATCGTCTTACCTTTGTCCTAAAGAAGATGTCATTACCCACCAGTCACTTCACAAATTTAAATGATTGCACCCCCCAGAGATACCCTCTACACAAGAGATCCCCAGCCTGCCTGATGGTCTGAGGTGCAGCTGATGTAATGATAATAGAAATAATGGGCTTGAATCACCCCAAAACCATCCCCCTACCCCTTGTTCCATGGAAAAACTGTCTTCCACAAAATCAGTCTCTGGTATCAAAAAGGTTGGGACCATTGCTACACAAATCAGTACTGGTCTAAGATCTTAAAGTAATTCCCAAATTAGAATCAAAAATTCACTAGATATTCTGTGATCACTATCCTTATGGTTATATATTTTTATTGCATATTCATGCATCGAAACAAGCATAGCCAGGAATTTTATAAACACACTTTTCTATTACTGCTAGCTGCTATGAAATCTTATGAAGCAGGTTAAGATAATGTTTCACAAGCTCATTCTCATTAAAATGCTTTCACTTCATTTATAAATAATGCTCTCAACTTTTAAAAAGGTGGTGTATGTAACAGTATTGGAAAGTATCTTATTGAATAAAGTTATGAGTTTGTATCTTTTTTCCCTAGGATAAATGGTTATTTTCGTACATTATATGGAAATTATAATTGTTGCAATGATCTTCAATAACTAAAAAATGCATTCCATATATTGTAAGTATGTTCCTAATAATGGCCCTAAAAAGCTTGTTTCCGTTGACAGACAGTTAAATAGAATTTTGGTAAATGGTCCCTAGTGGCATGAAAAAGTGGATGCACCTTTCAAAGCTAACAGCATCCAGGGAGACATTAGAGCTAATATTTCTGAAATATCAGGCTTTAGACTGCTCTGTTCTCATGCCATTATGGCTGATATATACATTTTAAAAAATTAGTCTTTGGAGGATAAAATTACAAATCAATTTATAATGGTTAGATTTCAATGTGAGTTTGTATGGCAAAAGACAAATTATTCATAAGAAAAACATAACTAGGTAATTATTTTACTATCAAGTAAACATCATCATTTATGTTAAATCGAATAAATCATGTTCACTTAATTAGAAATTTTCCAGATGTCACCTACAAGATGTCTATAAATACTTACTAGAAAAATACAGCAAAAGGTTTTGTAAGCATTTATGCAATAATAGAACACAACATAAACTTTTCATCAATGGTTTTCTCAAGGTCTGCTTCATGCATTCTTCTTCTCCCTTTGCAAATTTTAAGGGATGAAACAAGAATGTACCTAATGGAGACTATTTAAGTCAGTGAAGTTTTTCCATGTGTTTAAGAAACACCTTAAGCTCAGAGCCTGATCTCGGCAGTTCATTCATTTGCACAAATAATTCTGACAGAGACAAAGGCAGTCAGATGCTTAATTCACACATTCAGATGAGTTTGTATGCTGGACTTTTCTTTGAAGCTAACATCGGCAGGAGGAATCCAAAGCCAGGGTTTTTGTAACCTTATTTGATTCTGCAATGTTTCCATTTATATTTAAATAATAACAGCCTGAAAAAAAAAAAGGTAAGTAACATGTATTTCCAAGTGACCTTTCACACAATGTATTTAATTCCAATATCTCCAGAGGGCCAAAAAGTTAGTGGAGAGACATTGAAGGATTGTATTCAGAAGATGCAGAACATCACATTGCTGAGGGGAATATCAGTAACAATTAAGCTTAATAGGCCAATTTCTAAAGGTCTGGCTTCACTACTGATTAAGTCTCTGTCATCTGTCATCTACCTCTAGTGACACCTGTTAGACAGATGCACAGAATGTGAAAAGGAATGTGCTTTCTACATTCAAAAAATATATATATACACACTTAAAACACAACCCACATACCTGTAACAAATATCCATTGCAACACTATAATTAGCATCACAAGAAATTTCAATAAGGGTAGCTGTGCTCAATTTTCCTGTAAGGCCCCATTCATTCATCCTAGGCTTTCAAGAATCTTCCCTTTCTTTCTTTTTTTTTTTTAAGAGACCTTCTCCAAAAGTAAGGGAGAGTGAATGTGGTATGAATTGCTCAACAACAGGACAGTAAAAGTCGTCGAAGAAAAAAAAAAGCAAAGCAAAGGCCTGGAAGCTTGCCAATTCTGATCCGTTTCCTGGGCATAGACTCAACCGACCTAATTGGGCACCTACTGTGTGCACAGACCTGCACTGATGATCATGCACACCTCAACCCAACTCGAGCCGATTTCATGTACTGAGAAGTCCTCGACTTGCAACAAGGTGTGCAAAGGAAAGATCTCCCACAACGACCAGGGGCCTGGTCTTTGTCAGCTCCCCTGAGAACAAAGGCTGAGCACCCCGGGATCGGTGAGCCACCCACCGCGAACAGGTCTGGTCTCAGAAATCATCTGCGTGAGCCCCGGGCGGCCGGGCGGGGACTGGAGTCGAGCCAGGCCAACAGAGAGTGCCATTTCTGCAGCGGCTCTTCTGTCTCTGGGCTCCGTCTGCCTCCGCGGTACCCCACCACTTCTACAGGTACCAGCCCCGCGGCCAACTCTCTTATAAAGAAAGTCGAAAGTCCTAGAAAACGCAGAGCTCGCTTCGCAGCTACTAAACCAGGCACTTCCAAAAGAATGTAAACTTTTCTGGGTGTTTAGGGAGGGATGGAGAGAAAGCAGCATACAGTCCATTTCCCCCTGCCTCCTCCGGCCCCCTACCTACCCCGCACGGGTTTCCAAGCCCTGGGAGAGCCTCCACCCCTGGACACGCCGGCCCTCGCCCGCGCGCCCCGCGGTCCCCTCTGGGCTTGAAGGCCAGGCGGGCGGCCCCGGACTCACCGCTGACCACCCGGCGGCAGAAGGCTCCGTGGAAGCAGAGCAGCGCGGCGCCCAGCAGCAGCGATACCACGCGGCTCATCGCGGCGCGGCGGCAGGTGTGGCGCGGGGAGAAGGTGGCCTCTGCCCGCCTGGCGGCCCGGGCTCTAACCCCGCAACCCCCCTGCCTCCCGGCTGGAGGCCCTACGCCCGCCGCCCGAGCCCGGCTGCCCGGCCCCCTGCGAGCATCGCCTCCGGCCGGACCTGGCGCCGGGCGCGCTGCTGCCGCGCGCGAGTGAGCCGGGTTTGGAACGCACGACCCTGCGAGTGCGCGTCTCCAGAGAGGCCCCCGAAGTTAGGGGGTCCCGTGTCTGTCCCAGGAGAGAAGCAGGAGCCCCGGTGTGGACCCCGCCGACCCGTTGGCTCCTCTCCTTGACCTCTGGCCAGCGAGGGGCTGAGCCCGTGCGCCCAGGTCGTGGCTCCTACAGACGCAGCAGCAGCTCTGCGCTGGAGGCGCCGTCTTATATACCCACGTCCCCGAGGTTCCAGCCCCTCGCCAGGAGTAATTTTTAACTACTTCGTCTCTCCTGCCTTGCGGAGCATCCTTGGCCCCTCCCCTAAAAACTGGAGCCACTTTGAAAACAGTCCAGTCAGCAGCCCCTCCTCGAGCTCTCCTCTTTCCATTCGCTAGCAGACTCATTTGTGTAAAATGAGACAGCTTTGCTATTAAACTCTGGCAAAAGTTGGATCCATTTGATTTTCTCAAAGATTAATGTCCACGGGGATGCCAAGCTGTGGGGCCTTTCTCTCTCTCTCTCTCTTTTGTGTATGTGTGTGTGTGTGTGTGTGCTATACTGCTTGATCATATGTATTGCTAGATGCAGGGCACTAGCCACTATTTAAGATGGATTGGTGCAATGGGAGCCAAAACCTATTCGGTGAATTATACTGTTTGGCAGGTTTTTCCCCACCTCGCTTCTGCAAGGAGATTACTTCCAAACAGGGTTGTTTGACTAAATTGCCACAGGAGTAAATTGAAGAGAATATTTGAAACACAGTTTTCCCAACTGATTTCTATCTCAGTATTTGTAGCTCCGGAGAAAACCATCAACACAAAATAAATGTTTGGAATACTTGGGAATTTCCTGGACATAAAGGTATGTATTTCTTTGCAATCATCTATCAGTGAGGTATGCTGCTGGAGAAGACTCTTGAGAGTCCCTTGAACTGCAAGGAGATCAAACCAGTCCATCCTAAAGGAAATCAGTCCTGAATATTCATTGGAAGGACTCATGCTGAAGCTTCAATATTTTGGCCACCTGATGGGAAGAACTGACTCATTGGAAAAGACCCTGATGCTGGGAAGGATTGAGGGTAGGAGGAAAAGGGGAAGGCAGAGGATGAGATGGTTGGATGGCATCATTGACTCAATGGACCTGAGTTTGAGCAAACTCTGGGAGACAGTAAAGGACGGTGAAGCCTGGCTTGCTGTAGTCCATGGGGTGGTAAAGAGTCAGACACAACTGAGTGACTGAACAAGAACAAATCAGTGAGGTATGGTTAACAAAAGAAGTCAACCATACTACAAGCTGCAAACAAACTTTTCCATAACCTGATTTGGTCTTTAATGTAACAGTCCACTCAAGGATGCTAAATTTTCCTGGAGTACTGAAAAGAAGTTCATGAGAGTTTCATCTATATCTGGTCCACTATAGGAACCCTGAGGGTGGTCTCATAGTGAGCTTCAGTAGGACTGATATTTTGCCATTATGTTGCCTTAAGTGCATGAGAATTTGTTAAATAAAATCCTCTGTTTTTAGTTATTTTAAACTTCTTTGGCTTTTATAACACCTCCCTGTCTTTTGTTTTCATAAGCCATGAGTACACTCAACACTTGTTGGACTGTTTTCTTAGGGAAAAAGTTATTCTACAATAAAGATAGATCTTACAGAATAAGACATTTTAACACTTGGAAGGATCTTATGGAATATGAAGTCCACCCTACTCAAGTAGAATCCCAAACTGATTATAATATCTACTATTTTATTTTCCTTATGGAACCATTAGAAATACTAGTTTATTCTAGGGTCAGGGCAATTAACAAATCATGTAAAGAATATGGATTTTCACCACTAGCTACAGATCTAAAAGAAAGAGTTGTTGCTAGGATTTTGATTGGAAAATGGAAAACATAAGTCCTCAAAGCCATGAAGGAATATATAGCTCAGTCTGTAAGTCATGTCAAAGAGTATCGCTGGGTGTGGCTATGTTAGAAAGTTGCTCTAGGGGTTATAGAGAGGGCACTTTTTTGGGTTTCAGATTGTGGACTTCTGGTTAGGTCCTAACATGAAGGAAAGAAACCTAAAGAGCATTGGGGGTATCTTTAATAAGGGCACTAGTTGCTTTTATGAAAGTTCTACTCTCATGACCTAATTCCTACCCAAAAGCCCAATCTCCTAATACTATCATATTGAGAGGTAGAATTTCAACACATGAATTTGGTCGGGGGAGGGGGGCAGGAGTTGGGATACAAACATTCAGTTCATTGCAATGGGCTACAAAGGAAATTTGTTACATTTAAAATTATAACAACTTTATATGAATATATTTGAAATGTCATTGTAATTTTTATATATTTATATATAAATTTATACATAAAGTAATTTATTCATTCTATTACAGTTTAAAAATAGTAAATGATTCTTCTGAAGACTATCAATATCATTGGTAAGATATAATAAAATAAATATTTGAAAGTGAAAAAATAAAGCTATTACAATATAACCACATCATCTGTAGGCACAAACTGTTATTTTATTTCTTTTCTTTTCTAAATAATAGTTATCAGTCACTTCCAGGAAGAGACCATTGAATCCAAGGTTTTCCTTCCAATTCTTCAGAGGTGACACCTCGGCATCTGTTCAGGCCTATAACTGACTAAAATGCAAGGATAAGCATTTGGTCAAATTCTCCCCAGATTTACTTATTCTTTTCAAACCATGTCTGTGCTATGGAATACATGACCTGCCTCATTCAAGAGCCAGTTTTACTCTTCCTCATAATTCTAGGAGAAGCCTTAATTTTTATCGGGTTATCTTATGAGCTTCAGTGTTCATAATGCTGTTTGAAATTTAGTGAAGAATTATGTGTATGCATGTTCCATTGTGTTCAACTCTTTGCAATCCCATGGACTATAAACTCCCCAGTTCCTCTGTCCTTGGGATTCTCTAGGCAAGAATTCCGGAGTGGGTTGCCACACCCTCCTCCAGGGGATCTTCCCAACCCAGGGACTGAACCCCCATCTCTTACATATCCTGCTTTGGCAGGCACCACTAGCACCTGTGGAATAAAACCTGCCTTCCTATCATTTAAAGTTTAAATTCAGGAACTCTTGAGTCTGTCATTTCAACCATTCAGGTGATGAGTTAGTATTTATGGAACTCAATTACTAGAAGTATATGTTATCAGATCTGAAGATTCATATGAATTTATATGAATGTGTAATTAAATATCAACTCAGTAGATTGAAATTTCCTTTTAGTGCCTCTTTATTAATTGAAAGCAATGCATTCAGTACCGCTGTTACCAATTTATCATGGGCCAATACTTTTTACTCTAATCTTTGCTGAAATTCTAAATCTGATCTCAATATACATGGATACAAGCAAGCAAAATTGAGGTAATTAAACCAAAAAAAAAAAAAAAAACCCTATACGCTAAAGTCATCCTTACTTCAAGTGTCCAGCTTGAATTCTCTAGGTATGTAATTGACAAACTCCTTGCTATGTATTGAAGTACAGAAAAATTACTTCGCTAAGAGAATCAATCATTAGTCTAGATTTTTAGTCAATATGATCTTGGGCAAGTTTCTTCATTTTTTTGGTTTTGACTTTTAACATATAAAAAGAGAATGAATTGAAGTTCTGTGCTCCCTGACTGGTTGGCATTCTGGCCCAGAAAGGTTTATTTCACAAAAGTTTCAAATCTTAATCTTTATGTTCACCAAGAATTATCCCTAACCAAGATAAGTCATGATGTATATAATTGTTGTTGTTCAGTCACCAGTATGTCTGACTCTTTGCAACCCAAGGGACTGCAGCACTCCAGGCCTCCCTGTCCCACACCATCTTCTGAAATTTGGCCAAGATCATGTCCATTGCATCAGTGATGCCATCCAGTCATCTCATCCGCTGACACCCTCTTCTTCTCAGTTTCAGTCTCAATTCAGTTGCTCAGTCCTGTCTCACTATTTGCAACACCAAGGACTTTAGAATGCCAGGCTTTCCTGTCCATCACCAACCCCCATAGCTTACTCGAATTCATGTCCATCGAGTCAGTGATGCCATCCAACCATCTTATCTTCTGATGTCCACTTCTCCTACTGCCTTCAATGTTTCCCAGCACCAGATCTTTTCCAATGAGTTAGTTCTTTGCATAAGGTGTCCAAAATATTGGAGCTTCAGAATCAGTGCTTCCAGTGAATATTCAGGAGTGATTTCCTTTAGGATGGACTGGCTTGATCTCCTTGCAGTCCAAGGGACTCTCAAGAGTCTCCTCCAAAACCACAGTTCAAAAGCATCAATTCTTCAGCATTCAGCTTGTTTTTATGGTCCAACTCTCACATTCATACATAACGACTGGAAAAACCTTAGCTTTGACTATACAGACCTTTGTTGGCAAAGTAATGTCTCTGCTTTTTAATATGCTATCTAGATTGGTCACAGCTTTTCTTCAAAGGAGCAAGTGTCTTTTAATTTCATAGCTGTAGTAACCACCTGCAGTGATTTTGGAGCCCAAGAAAAGAAAGTCTGTCACTGTTTCTATTGTTTCCCCATCTATTTCCCATGAAGTGATGGGACCAGATGCCATAATCTTGGTTTTCTGAATGTTGAGTTTTAAGCCAGCTTTTTCACTTTCCTCTTTCACTTTCAAGAGACTCTTCAGTTCCTCTTTGCTTTCTGCCATAAGGGTGGTGTCATCTGCATATCTGAGGCTATTGATATTTCTCCCTGCCATCTTTATTCCAACTTGTGCTTCATCCAGTCCAGCATTTCCCATGTGTACTCTGCATATAAGTTAAATAAGTGTGACAATATACAGCCT